GCGCAAATTACTGCACGCAAAATTGGATCTTGATAAATCCGGCCCTAAGTCTAAAATGGATGTAAGCCTTCCAACAAAGCATGAGACACAAAAAAACTAATATCCAAATGTACCACATCTACGGGAAAAATATTTACTTTAAAACGATGTTTGCACTACAATTAGTTTTATTTTACTGAGGAAATTAAAAAAAGCATAATAGTCATAATAGAAAAAGCAGGTACTCACTATGAGCAGAGGTACTTTTAAACAGGGATCACAGTTTCTTTTTGTGAAATTCACACCTTTTCACAGAAATATTCCTTCTGGAATAAAGGTTGCCTTTAAAGGAGGCAACTTATAAAATATAGAGAGGACATAGATGGCTGTTTACCTGCATTAATACTCACAAAGCAATATTGGCATTTTTATGATGCCAATGGTAGGAGCAAGGCAAGTACCAAGATGGTGGCAGGGGACTTCAGTTTTTTTAAGCAATATTTTTAATCAGCAATCCAGTGAATAAATAGAGATCAGTGAAATTCTATCACAAAAATATAACTTTAGCAAAAAGTAAAGTAACGTACTTTCTAAAAGTTATTTATTTATTTTTCTTAAGTACCTCAAGTGAAATTAACTAAGTAAATCAGATTAGTTTTTATCCACCTCTAATAAATTGTTATTTCTCCATCTCAACAAATTAAAGGCCGTTCATTATTTTGTGCTTGGAAACTTGCAGAATCTGAAATAAAAAAACACATAATTGAAAACAAGCTAAATAACATTAAAACTATAAACGCATAAGGAAGTGTTACAGTAGATGCGTACGGTACTTAATAGGGCCAACTGTTAAGAGTTAGACTAAGACTAAGATTAAAAAAGGTCAGAGGAAACTGCAGAGCATCTTTACTGCTTTCATCAAATGTACATCAAACATTAAGGCATCAAAATCGATTACTTTAATAAATTAGTTTCATATTAGTGTTAATAATGTAGATCATGAATGCTTAAAACACTTTATGTAAACATGAAAATAAAAAAAAACATGAAAATGTGAAAAGTCAAGTTGTTACGTAACTTTCTCATGAGGTCTAAATTTATTCTCCATGAAATCATATTTCAGAGTTAAAAAAATAATATATATATAGTTTCTATAACACAATTAATATTCTACCATTAACTTTAATTCCCCAGTAATTTTTCAATTTTCTGACTGTATTTTATTTTAGAAGTATAAAAACTAAAAGGACTTTAAATTGGTGTCAGGAAAAACTAATATTTGCTTCAGGAGGATTTTCATTGACTAATGTAGGATTTACATCATATAATTAATTAAACAACAAAAAAAAAAATCAACAACATAATACAGATCAACACTTTCTATGGAAGGAGTTTGGTTTCACCAAACTGATTTTACCTTGAAACCTTACAGGCAATAATGATGTTATCTATAATAATACAAATAAGATGAGATGTGAAAATGAGATTGACACTTAAAGTTCATTTAACAACAAATTAAGACGTTCAGAATGCAATCAGTTTAGTTTGTTTACAGCAGAGACGTTTTTAAGTTTGTACCATTAACAGAAAGAATGGATGAAAAAAGCTCGTGTGACACTGATGGTTTTTACTGAACAGAAAATAGATTTTGTTAAAGGAATCTGAGTTACAAACAGTTTAATCTTTAAGTTTAGCAGCTGCCAGTTGAGATTAAAACCCGATAAACAATATTCATATTATATGTCTGAGTTTTTAAGAAGCCTAAATCAGTGTTCCTGTTTACTTTGGAAAATTCTGGAAAACCATGAAATGTCCTGTAATTCTTTTACAAGATAAGAACAGAAAAACAAAACTGATTGTGGAAAAATGTTTGAATTTTCAAATGTTTTTCTTTCCTGGAGATAAAAGGCTCATAGAACTTATTTTATCAGGTGGTTTTACCTGAATCTGTATCAAACAGAAACACTTCTACCTTTATTGGCTACAGCCAATCATTGTCTTTCCATTGGTGAATAAAATGTTTTTTTTAAACTTCTAGTTTCAATTCTAAACTGCCTTTATAAGGTTAAAAATTCTAAAAACTGTTTTTTAGATTCTTTATATATTCATGGTTTCTCTAGTCGCTTTTGGACAGGGTTTGCTAAATGATCTAAGCTGATCATAAAGACCACAGCATCTTTACATATACCTTAAATTAATATGTTAATATTAATTTAAGGTATATTTTATATCCTTCAAATATCGGAAGCTAGAATCAGATTTGTTTTTAATTCTTTCGAGATCATAAAGATAGTAAGAGACCCAATCGACCCAATTCCCCATAGGCTCAAAGTTAAAGGTATTGTGTTGGTGATGATTCTCTGTCATCCAGGTCATAGTCATTCCAAAAAAGTAAAAAAAAACAATCCAATGGACTTTCCAAGTCTTTGTTTCCAAGTTTGAAAATGCTTCGCTTCCCATCCAGGAAGCTTTTTCAATTAAAAATGAAATTTGAATTGAAAAAGCTTCCTGTCTTCAAACTTGGAAACTTAACTTTTTTGGAATGTATTGTCTAGGATTTGTGATTTTTTTTTTTTAAAGACCCACCCTCTCCACTATAAAAAAATGCACATGCACAACCCTGTACCCGCTCCTGAGAGGGAGCCCATTTCTCCTCATGCATGCAGGCCGCTGTGACAGCAAATCCCATAATGCTTTGCAAGGAGAACTCTCCGCGCAAAGCATTATGGGATATATCTGCCTCTTCTGAGGCCTTTCTCTTCTTGTCATACACTTCGTAGACCCTTTTTCTCTTAAGACCCTCTGCCATTTTCAAACAACCGCGGTGAGTAATGATGAGCTTCAATGACTGTCTGAAACCGTAGCTCAGCACACATATACCAATGATTAACAATTAGAACGATCACTTATTTAGATGATCCAAAAGATTGTCCTCTATACCTTTAATGCTTTGGAAACAAATACAGAAAAATCATCTTATTGTGGAGAAGTTTGGGATTTTGTCATGAAAAACATTCAGGAAGCCTGATTAATGGCAAACATGTGGTTTACAGGAGAGGTCGTTCTTCTCTGATCCATGACGGTGATAGTCTCTCTTTCCGCCCGTCTTGCTGAGCAGTTTCACATCCGTGATGACGATGTCATGGCTCACAGCCTTGCACATGTCATAGACCGTGAGCGCCGCCACCGAGGCGGCTGTCAGTGCCTCCATCTCCACCCCTGTCCTTCCTGTAGTGCGACAGGTCGCAGTGATGATAACGGAGCAGTGCGGCTCGTCTAGCTGGAAGCTGAGGGAGGCGTGGTCTAGTGGTAGCGGGTGGCAGAGCGGGATGAGGGCGGCAGTCTGCTTGGATGCCATGATGCCGGCCAGCTGAGCCACAGTTAAGGCGTCACCTTTTGCCAGCTGGTTGTCCTGGAGAAGGCGGAAAGCTACGGTTCCCAGGACGACGGTGGCGCTGGCTGTGGCCGTTCGCTGTGTGGGACGTTTCTCCCTGATGTCCACCATGGTGGCTCTGCCCTGGGCGTCTGTGTGTGTCAGCTGGGCTTTAACCTTAACGGGGCTGTCAGAGGCTGATGGGACATCAGAACTCTGACTGTGAAGTAACCTGACACTGGGATTTTTCTGACTCTGTTTGGGATTTATTGTGCAAAAAGCAGAAAGGAACCGGCTCCTCGGGTTCTGAGGAACACTGGATTGTGAGTACCTGAGTCGGCCTTCATTTATGAAGCTCTTATTTGTGCGTTTCTGGAAACTTGCAGTCTTAGTGTGACAGCTGGTGAAAATTAGATCATAATCAAAGTTTGATGAGTGGAGCGGCGCCACACACTTTTTTCTGCTAATATGAGTCTGAAGTGGACCGCCACTCACTGAGGTCTTTAAGCAGCAACTAAAGGCTGTTTGTGTTGAATTAGTGCAGCCTGGAAGGCACAGAAACTCCTCTTTGGTTGCTGAACAAGGCTCATCAGGAGAATGATTCAGATTAGAGAACAGGACACTTTTTTGCTCACTAATGATGAATGAAGCCTCCAGTCGGTTGTGTAGCCTTGGCAGAAATGTCTCAGAATTTTCTGCTTCATCAAATACAAAAAAAACAAACAAACTCAAGAAAACAAACTATTTCTGAGAAATAGTGCACCACAACTAAGTTTGGAAGATTACGTACTGCTGAGTCACCCACCAATGAGGATCATCGGTCTGTTCTTCATCTGAGAGATGTTGAACATTCCTGAGAAGAGAAACACTGATTATTAGCATGTCAAATGGAGCTAGCTGCAGCTATCCTCCACATGGTTCTGTGTGAACTCTGACCTGCATGTTGTTTCTTCTTCCTGCCCACAGCGGCGCCAATAATTTGCAGCAGCTCGTCATCAGGTGCTCCTGAACGGAGAACGTCTCTGAGGGAAACTTCAGAGTTACCAAACAAACACACCTGAGAGGCAAACAGGAGAGAGAGTTAAAAACGAGAACATCCAGAGTTTCAATCTAAGCTACAGCTTCTTAGCCTCGTGAGACCATCCTGATCTCGCAAGATTTCAAGGTTTCACTCGCAGATCAGTCTGGAGACTCTCCGTTAAAGAAAATTTGGAGCCGTTCACCAAACGAACGTCCAATCAGCGTTGGCTTTGAGGCGGGTTGAGGTGTGACGCAACAAGAAGCGCGACAGTTCAGTCTAAAGAACATGGCGGCTTCAGCCGATGAAACTAGCGTTAGCGTGGCTATTGAGCAAGTATTATCGGAATTACAGAGTATTTCTTCACTGAAAGAAGAGCAAAACACTGCTCTGGAGGCTTTTCTCAGAGGAAAAGATGTTTTTGCTCTTCTCCCGACTAGTTCCGGCAAGAGTTTGATCTATCAATTGGCTTGTGGTTGTGTTTTCGTCGTCACTCTGTTAGTACGTCATATGCTTCGTTGATCTGATTGGTTTATTTGGCCCGTCTATCAACAACATAGGCCAATCAGCTAACCAATTATTTTCGCCCCTTCCCAAAATTACTTCAACGGAAGGTTTCCAGATGGATATGCGGAGCAGATCCATCTGGCGGAGTCAGGTTAACAGCTTCTGGCTTTGGGTAGAAATACTTTATTAAATGGAAGCTATAATGTGTAAGAAAATTGAATAAAAGCAAGATTAACCTTGAGGTTTCCATCAGCAGTGATCCGCAGACGGTTACAAGAGCCGCAGAAATGGTCGGACATGGAGGTGATGAAGCCCAGCTGACCTTTGAACCCTGGAACCTGAAAGGTCTGAACAGAGACAAAGCAAAGAGAATACTTTAGGAAACAGTTTTAGACCTTATCTAATAACTGAAGCAGATATGTCGGATGGTTATTAACAATTCCCTTAGATCTGGTTCTAAGGATTACAGACTTAGATTCATGCTGTGAGTTTTTTGAACAGCAGCATAAAGGAGTAAGATCTTCTGCTTATTTGCAAAAAGCAGAACATTAAGGTTAGAATGCCTCATCATACTACCTCTTCCCCTTCAAAGTTGTGCAATAAACCAACCAAAAGAAAAGCATTACTGAAGTGAAAAGAAAAAGGAACAAATAAGAAGTATGTAAATTTTGAATCACACTTAATAAAATTATTTGTAGCCACAGTTACAGCTTGTAGTGTTTAAGGTAATGCCTTTACCAGCTTATTTCACTTTCTAGTTCTCTAGTCAGATTGTTTGTGAATAGAATTTTTCCAAATCACATAAAAGATTCTGAATTCCTCTAGGTCTTTACTTTAACTAGGACATAAATATATCCACGTTATTTGATAAGATGTTTCAGCTGTAGCACTAGCTGTATTTTTTAAGATAATTTTCCTGCTTAAATCTTTCATTCTGCATCAAGTATTTTTTAGATTCTACAGGTTTTCTTTAGAGCCAGCCCTGTATAAACCCCCATCCATCCATCAGCTGCCGCATCTGAACATCTTCCTCCACATGTTTACTGCATCTTCTTCATCGGTGTGTCGACAGATTCTCCTACCAATGTGGCAGATCTCTGCAGCTCCTCCTGAGCTATCCTGATTTTCTGATTGGAGACGTAGACGGCCAAGATTTATTAGGCTTAAACATGTGACACACTGGATCAATCAGAGCTTTCAGAAATGGTTCAAAGTAAACTGCTATAATCATCTCCACTCTGTCCTCCTCTTCCTTTCTTCAGTTTCCTTGGTCTTAATGATGTTTGTTTTCAATGATCTCTAACTGGCCTCTAAGGTCATTAGAAAACTGATGTGTTTATAGGTAGATTAATTTGCACACAGATGGACTCTGTTTACTTATTAGGAGCTTCTGATGGCAAGTCGTTAAACCAGGGTTCCTACAGCATAAGGCAAGTTAAATTCAAGACTTTTTAAGACTTTTTAATGCCAATTGAAATAAAAATTTAAGACCAAATTCACAAGAAACACAAGAAAAACCTGCTTGCAACAACTTAAACCAAAGGTATATTTTAACATAAACCACTGCACTAATGTTTCAAAATTTGAAAAGCTTCCCATACAGGAAGAAAGCTAAAAACACACAAATGACAGATATATTTGAACAATTATTTAACTGAATTCACAAACTTTGTTTTAGCAGGAACAAAACAAATCTGTTTTAAAGCCACAACATAACCAGTGCTAAGTCTCTTTTGCAATTATTTTTCTTTGTATCGTTTTCTTAGTATGTTTGATTTGGTGATAAGTGGAGGCGTTGCAGAGACAAGGGTGGAACTAAACTGAGAAAAAAAAATTTTTTTATTAAAAAAAAAATGTTTTCAATTTTACAAAAATAAATCTTAATAAAAATAATCCTATTTATGATTTTTTTTTTTAAATAACACCTACGAAAGACTGATTTAAGACATTTTAATACCAATTAAGGCCTTAGTTTTATTTTGAAGAATTCAATGCCTTTTAAGACTTTTTAAGGACCCGCGGGAACCCTGTAAACTAGGTGTTATTTAGGAGCGTCAGAGTCAAGAGAACTAAATACAGATGTACGCCATCTTGAAAGCCTCGGATCAACTCCTTTCCCCTAAAGGTTCTCATCATATACATTGAAGTTTGAAAAGTAGCATTAAGACAGAGAAGCTTTTTTGCAAAATAAGAATGTTTTACTCTTTTGAGGACATCCACTGAAATCATTAAATGATAAATCCAGTAATGCTTGAGATGTGGAGAACCTGACCTTGGCAGTGTCAGCAGGTCCAGACTGAAGCCTTTCCAGGTTGGGCCAGTGCTGCCTGATCTGATCCAGCATCTCCTGGTAACTCACCATCTTCTTAAAGTTCCACTTGTTTCCTTCGATGGAAAAAAGTGGATACATTGGGTTTGTTAGAGGGGTGCAAGCTAAACCAAAACTCTGCCACACAAACCTCTTTACATAAAGACACCAGCCTCCCAGACCAGAGCAGAGTCGTATTGGTAGTAGTGAGTACTCACCATCAAAGGGCATATATTCGATGAAGCGCACCTCCAGAGGCTTCTTCTCTGTAAGTTGCACAAAATCTAACAGCTCATCCTCGTTCAGGCCTCTCATCACCACACAGTTGATCTGCAGACAGCAGCACAACAGCAGGAGAATCTTATACAACCATAGAAATGTTAAATGGAAGGTTTGATAGAGGAAGGACATTTAGTTAGAGAGGTAACAGGAAGATGAAAGGTCTGTGTTCATTTCAGCATGTCGACAATAGATGTTGGGGACTGAGTGTAACTGCAGCACACAGATCGGCCAGTAGGTGTCACTCTAAGGTGCCTTTTAGGAGGCCTGAAGTCTAAGAGGCCCTCATTATGTATTATATCTTACAGAATTGAAAAAAAAAAATATTGCTACCCCAACTGTCAGCACAGAAAGCAGGACACGATGGACATTACCAGACCATCTACAATCCCTCTCCTCTCCTCATCATGGGGGAGTGGCGGCCTACGGGGTAAAGCACAGAATCCTTGGAATCCTGAGGTTGTGAGTTCAAGCCCCACACCCACAGACTGCCACTCTTGCTCTCTGAGCAACACCCTTAACCCCACACTTCTCCCCGGATGTCCCAACGATGGCGGCACTCTGCTCCCCAAGGGGATGAGTTCAACGCTGAGGTAAATTTATCCAATGTGAGATAAATAAAGTACAATTATTATTGTTTTTATCCCCGCTTTGCATTTTAATTAGTATTTGTGTTTGGGGACTGAGATAGACTAGGAAGAGGGCTAGTTTTCTGCTTTGTTAACCCGTTCCATCTTGTTTGGTGTTTTATTTTGGACCAATCAAGTTAAAGGTCAAATGGTGGCTAACTGCAGTTTTATATTAATTTATTCATAATATGGACATTTGATGCCAGTAGTTGATTTCTAAGGATCAACACACCTCTGCCGTTAGTGGCTATTGGGAGCAATTCTCTTTGTCACACCATATTATGCCCCCAGGAAACAAGGAGCCCTGGATTAGGAGATGAAGGTTCCTTGTGGCTATGAAAGTTATTTTATAAAAATTATTTAACCTTATTTGTCATCAGAGCCAATATTTGTGGCAAAATTAAAAGTACATGAATGTATTCAAATGAATGTATTTAAATAAAGGCTTGGATCTTGGTTTTCAGTGCTAGAGCAGAGTTTCTGCAGCTAAAAGTGAAAAGCTATTCATTTTATTGTATATTGAATAAATAGTAATTGTAAACAAGGTGAAATAATAAATATGAAGAACTGTAAAAAGCTATCTTAAACTGAAAAAAGTGATTAAGTAAAACCTATTATTATAAATAATTAAAGTTTAAAACACACCTTGACCGGATTGTACCCCAGTTCAACTGCTTTATCGATGCTCTCCATGACTTTATGAAAACCTGAGGAAAAAGGAAAAAGACTTTTAGAAAAAGTGGTTTGCTTTCTTTGTCTACATCAGCAAAGTGCAACTTCAGGAATTCATTCTTTTGCACCTTGAGCTTTTTAAAAGGCAACTATAGAGATCAGGATAATTTATTTTTATAAGCAATAAGGCAGCTGCAGAACACAGATTAATTCATCTAAGTTCCCAAATGGTAACTACATTTTTTTTTTATTATTGCTCTGCTAATCCTAAATGCTAAAATTACTTTCATTCTGCACCTTCAGCAGCTCTCTCCAAAAAAAAAAAAAAAAGATCTGCTCGTTTTCCTTCTCTTGGTTTCCTAATCTCAGACTCTCCATCTGTTCCTGCTTGCCTGAAGCCAACCACCCAGAGCTCCGACCTGCTGTTGCCTCCAGGCTGAGTGCTTGTAGATTACATCCTCCTTCTGTAGCCCGCTGGGCTTAATCAGCAACCGCAGAAACATAAAACCGCATTGATTCCCGCTTTCTGCAGCTTGTAGCTGGGATTGCAAAAATCTACAACCCAGTTAAAGCAAAAAATTCTCTGCAGCAAGCTTTTAGCTAGCAATGCATACGGCCATACATGCACGCCATTTATTAAAAACAATGACAAATTGTATTTTCGCTCAAATGTTCAAAATTTCAAAAGCAGCAGATGATTGAGTTGGAAAAATTACTAATTTGTTGCTGGACGCACCACATCAACCAATCAGAGAAGCTGATCTGGGAGCAGGCAGGGAGTCAGACACAGCACTGCTGATGCAGAGCGCTATGATCACTCCTCTGAAACAGTTTATTAACGCCTAAATGAACTTAAATGCGTAGTGGAGGATTTTTGTGAATTTTTTAAAAGACCCGCCTTTTCCACTTAAAAAAAAAAAAAAAAGAGCACCTGCACAACCTTGTACCCGCTCCCATGAGGGAACAAGTGCGACAGCGTGCACAAGCCTATTTGTCGTCGTGCATGCTCTGTTTATAGGTTACTGTTCTCATTAGTCTACGCTGTCAGGTAGCGACATGTTATGGTGACAGCGGGCCGCTGTGACAGCAAGTCCCATAGTGCTTTGGGAGGTGAGCTCTCCGTGCAAAGCATTCTGGGATATATCGGCCTCCTCTGAGGCCTTTCTTTTCTTCTCATACACTTCGCAGACACTTTTTCTCTTCCGACCCTCGGCCATTTTCAAAGAACCGCGGTGAGAAAGATGAGCTTCAATGACTGCCTGAAACCGTAGCTCACCACAGATATACGCCTGAAAGGGCGCAGAAAACGGGACGAGCACGTATGACGGCCTTACGTAAACATTTCGCCAGAATGAGTGACAATTAGGAGGATCACTTGTTTAGAGGATCCACCCGGAAAAAGAACATCCTCCACTATACCTTTAAAATGTTGAAACCTGCAGGCAATTATTATTCTGTTGCCTGCAGTTTGTGCCACATACCTGAAAAATGCTAACATCTACTTCCAGCCGCTACAAACAGTAGAGGAAAACCCAAAGAGGCGACCTGGCCTGAGGCAGCAGCTGCTGAATTCCCAGTGACAGCGCACCCTCGCTATGTGGGGGTCTGAGGGGCTCTGACAGCAAAATAATATTTTAAGGCAGGAACGTAATCTTGACGAACGGACTGGAAAGAAAATGTTTAGGACTATCTCGCATAAATATGTATTAAAACTACTTTTTACCCACTTATGAGAGCAAATATAGAAAGACACTCTGCCACTGAACACAGGAGCAGCAGAAGCATCTGGACACACTTAACTGTCCAAACTTTATGTGTACAAGCATCAAAAATGAAGCAGCAGGCACTTTTTTGCTGCAGAAACCCTGGTGTGAACATAGCATTACACTTTCTTATTGCTTGAATTAACCTACGAAACAAAATATTGTAGCTAAAAATGATCTTATGTCTTCCTTAGGAAATTTCCACCTCTAGTCAAGCACACATTCTTCACATAATCAGGACAAAAGAAGTGTTGTAAGAAAAACAGTGTTTCATCTCAAAAGGCAGGAAATATTGTTCCAGAGAGTATGGATTTCAAAAATGTACAGGGGAGGATACCGCCGTACCCCCCTATGCCAAGCAAAGCCTAAACATGTGATACGCCAGGGTGTACACCCTATGAAATATTCCTGCTCTACAGTCACTCAAAGTTTGCTTTGGCAGGAAAAACACAGAGAAACTGGAAAGTAACAAACTTATCACTGAAACAACAATCATATAAAGTACCACCATCTACATCTAAATACAGGTTAATGGGAACTAAGATGAATTTATCTGGATTTTGGGGGGGATAGAAACCAGAGATGGGCTGACCCAGTATGATGAAACAAACCTACAGAGTTTTTTAAAAACATCTTTGTTTTTATAGATTTAGATTTAGACAGATTTGTCATTTTGTTTACACAAGTGCAAAACAAAAATAAATTTAGTTTAGAAACAGCTTTCTGGACAATTTCATTTTTTTTAAGTGCAGCCTAGAAAATAGTAAAATATATACCGTAAATTCTCTAATATAGGCCCGGGCCTTTATTTCACTCAAGTGCATCGCGGTCCAGGCCTTTATT